TGCGGGGAAGGGGGCTGAGCCGGGCCGCCGGCCGTCGCAGAAGCGGCGCGACGTGCTGGGAGCTGGTAACGGCTGGCAAGCCATCGCCGGCAGGTTTTACCCTCTCTGATCTCCGGGTGACACAAATCTCCGCCGCGCCTCTGGTGTTCACACTCCTTGCCCTCTGTTTGACTTTCCCCTCTCCTTCAGCCCCTTTATTGCCCTGCAGCAGTTGGTAGATCCCCAGAAAGATTTAATCCCCGGGCAGGTCCTGTACATTGCGGCCGATAAACGCCCCGCAGCTGGGAGGTTTGGGGCGCTTTGTGTTTGTCTCAGGAAAAAAAAGTCTTAAGGCCGCTTTGTGCGTTCTTGAGCAAAGAGAAGCCACCAGATGGGCACACAACGATCAGCTTTGTCCGTGCAAACAGGGGAGCGGAGCTCCTCGGGCAGAGGAGGTGCGTACAGGGAGCGACCCGGGTATAAAGGGACGGAGGCCAGCATGGGGTGGAGAGCAGTGGGACTCACTGCTCAGCACCGCAGCGATGGGTGAGTTCTCCTCTTCCTCACGGCTCCTTCTCTGCACCGTTTGCAGCTCTGGGGGATGCAAACAGAAAACCAAGCTCAGCGACAGCAGTGGGGGACCGCGGGCACGGGAGGTGATGAGAGCGTCCAGCGCCCGTCCCGCTCCTCCCCGGCCACCCAGCCGTTCCATCCCAGTTCTCTGCTGGGCTGCTTCCCGCATCCCCGTGAACTGCATGCTCTGCACCTGGAGCACCGGGTTTTATGCCCCAAACTCAGCTGCAGTGCTTTGAACTATTTCCTCTGAATGCCCTTAACACAGATTTACTTCTTTCCCATAAAAAATTCCTTTTGCCTCTAGACCTGTAGGAAAAAAACCAAGCCACGTTTAGGAGAACCATGAGAAAAACGTGACTGCAGTTTGCTGGCTGGCTGGTGCAGGGGTTGACCAGGAGGGTGGCAAAGCAGTTTCTCCCCTTGCTTCAGCCCTGCAGGGGCAGAGCCTGTGCTGAAGCTGCAGCTCCCACCACCCCAGGAGCCCCTGCTCCTGCCTGCGCCCCGCGGCTCTGCCCGCCC